TGATGTGATGACATCACTCACCTTCGATTTGCCGACGATATAGTCCTTATGGCAGAATCGCTGGAGGACCTAAGCACTATGCTCAATGACCTCAATAGTGTTTCCCAACGGATAGGTCTGAAGATGAACATGGACAAAACAAAGATCATGTTTAATGTCCATGTCACACCTATGCCGGTAGTTGTTGGCAACACTAAGCTCGAAGTTGTTGACGAGTATGTTTACCTGGGACAAATAGTCCGACTAGGTAAGTCCAACTTCGACCGAGAGGTCAATCGACGGATTCAACTCGGTTGGGCAGCGTTCGGGAAATTACGGCACATCTTATCGTCAGGTATACCTCAAAACTTGAAAACGAGACTGTACACCCAGTGCGTGTTGCCAGTGATGACATACGAAACTTAGACGTGGTCCTTCAGTGCTGGCCGGATGAGGAAGCTCAAGGTCGCTCAGCGAGCTATGGAGAGGGCTATGCTCGGAGTTTCTCTGCGTGATAAACTCAGAAATGAGGATATCCGCAGTAGAACCAGAGTGACCGACATAGTCCAACGGATTAGTAAGCTGAAGTGGCAATGGGCCGGCCATATAGCTCGAAGAACCGACAACCGATGGGGAAGAAAGGTTCTCGAATGGAATGCCTCATTTCCAGTAAAATGTGTCTCCGATTCTCTACACTCGCCATACGAGTTACAAAGTGGTTTTAATATTATTATTGCAACACCCAGCAAAAAATGCAATACGTGATTATAGACTGACATAAAACGTAATAAACGTTGCTTATAATTATGGAATTGGCAACATATGCAAGTATTTTCTGCCGACTTCCAAAAAGGAGACGGTACTCAATTCGACTGTATGTTTTTTTAATGTGTGTTACCTCATAACTTTTTACTGGGTGAACCGATTTCAATGATTGTTTTTTTATTTGAAAGCTAATACTTCTCGTGTGGTCCCGTATGAATTTGATCAAGGTCAGACCAATGGTTATTGAGTTATTCTTAATAACTTATATTGAAGTCGGCTGTACAAAATTTTTAATTTTTAATTATTAAAACATATATTAATTTGCGAACCTTACATGTCAAGAGATTTATATGCATTTTAAAATTAAGATGTTTATATTATATACAGAATTTATCTGTGGACACGGACAAGAGGAAGAATGAAGAGAACAAGAGTGAGCTTTCGATTTGATGGGAATATTTGATTGCGAGGTTTGACTGATAGGGAAAGTTATAAATTTTGTTTTGGTTTTGCCAATTATATATTTGATTCAAACTGCATTGTGATTTACTTTCAACATATTTGCTAGATATTGCATAGCAAGTAATAGCTATGTCGTCTGCAAAAGAGACGATTTTTGCGTTATCAATGTGAAGATTACACAAGTCATTAATGAAAACAAAAAATAGAGTCGGGCCAAGAATACTTCCCTGGGGGACACCATAGGAAACAGGGAGTTCGTCACCGATGCAGTCGGATATTTTAACCATTTGAGTGCGATTTGTAAGATAACTTCTGAAACAGTCTAACTGTAAACCTCTGACACCCATTTTTTCTAACTTGGCTAAAAGAGTGGAAACAGGAATTCTGTCAAAGGCTTTTGCTAGATCTAGAAATATTGTTAGGACCTTCTTATGACTATTTAGAATACTGACTATAACATTTATTAATTTATGAACTGAATCGGAAGTTGATTTATTTTTACGAAATCCGAATTGTTAAGGTGAAATTAATTTAAAGTGTTCAAGATAATGGACTAGTCTATTTTTCACTACAGTTTAGATAAGGCAGGTAGAATAGCAATAGGGCGGTAATTAGTAACTAAAGTCCCGACACCACTCTTGAAGATGGGCTGTATTATATAGACTTTTTTAAAAATTTGGGAAAAGTAACATTTTCAAAACAGAGATTGAATATATCGCTTAGCACAGGTGCTAGTGTAGCAGAGTATCTTTTTAGTATAGCGGGAGATATGCCATTCCAAACGGTAGCAACATTAGACTTCAAACGATGTAAAAGATTGTGAAGAAGTAAACTGAGGTAAATTATTACATTTGATTATATTGCCCGCAAGCTCCTTTCCAACATCAATAAAAAATTTGTTAACATTATTGCATGATTGCTTTGTAGACATTGCTTGTGTAACTAACTGGCATGATGCTTGTTTATTGTGGTATGTATTTTCTATTTTTTTGATAGTATCCAAAAGTGCTTTAATTTAATGTATGCACCTCAAAAACAAAAATACTTTTACTAAAAATAGTGATGTACGTTCTGTAAAAACTAGGAACAAAGTAAGCTTCACAGTATATTAGTCACGACGAAAATCAAAAATTTAAAATTTAATTTGTTTCTAATTTTTTAAATTATGTTTTAGTTTATAAATATAAAATTTCTCTCTCTCTCTCTCTCTCTCTCTCTCTCTATATATATATATATATATATATATATATATATATATATATATATATATAATACACCTATAGCAATTTTCATGGTGATCGATCAAATAGATTTTGAGCTAACATATATATATATATATATATATATATATATATATATATATATATATATATTATATATATATGTTTGTATATATATATGAAATCGTAAAAGAGGAGTAATCCTTTTTTATATTTATAGATGGATAAGCTAGTAACTCCAAATGCTTGACTCCAAAGGTTGAATAATATCTTCATCTGGCAATAAACAACGGTCTCAGAAAATGTGCAGAATCTATCATTCAAATATTTTAAAAATCTTTACTAAGCAAAAGAAATTTCATTTAAAGTAATACTTTCAATAAGTAATGTTGGTATCTATATTGAATAAAATTCTGTTCTATTAAACCACCACCGTATTTCTAGTCATAGCCTACCCGTGGATGTCGAAAGCGGCGATAAAAGGAAAAGTTAAAAAGACCTCTTGACCTCTGATAAACCGGCGGCGGGGAGCCTCATAAAAGTTACGAAACATCAAGTACTGCGATTGGCAATTCGCCACCCAAACATGATTATTAAAGATACTAAGAAATTATTAGCTGCGATACGAGTAATAAAATAAAATTATGTGTCTTACTTATCTAAATGAAACTACGGATTTTATCGCGTATAATAACTTACCTAGTTTGAAGAGTACCTTACGCCCTCCCTCTCTCCCTCAATTGCGTGCACTATCGCCTTGACCACTAATCCCAGCACCACTACTCCCTAGACCAATACACTAGGAAAGACATACCACCGTCGATAATACCACACGTGTTTCACCTCTAAACGAGGCATGCTCAGGTGATGTAGACTGTGCCGTGGCTGATCGCCTGACAGTGGATTATTAAGGGCTGATGACGAAGATGTTATTCGTCAGTTCGTAGGAACAAGGGCTAAGAATTACTCTACGTTTTCTATTTCACCGTATAATTAGACCGATTAAATGCATAAATTATATTTATTTTTCACTAGCGACCCGCCCTGATTTTGCCTGGATGATATCAATGTGGCTTTATTTAGACTTTGCAGAATTCCTGGCCCATTTGGATTCTGTGTGGGACAATAACAGGCTCTACCTACATACTCGTGGTATTTTTGTGCAGTCATGCTACCTTGGACCCAAACGAGCTGGGTTCGTCCGCCAAGACGAATTCCTGCCCATGCCATGATTGTTCCGCCTTGGTATGATTGGACCTCTTGAGGGTACTGTAGACGGCCAACTGGAGTTCCCAAACGCGTGTTTTTCGTGAATCCGAATGAAACCCAAACCAAAACTCATCAATGAACAGAACCGAAGACCATTGTTCATTACTCCATGGCAAATGCTCCCGAGCCCACGGAAGCCGCCGACCGCGATTGCCACGTCGCAATGCTGGAACACGTAGCGTTCTTCGAGCATGAAGACCAACTTCATGCAACCTGCTTCGCACGGCTTAGTCGCTTACCAGAAGCTGGTGGTCCTCCTGGAGCCTTTGTAATAGTTGCATCGCTATGATATTGGGTTGTCTTATGGCGGTAATTTGGAGAAATTGGTCCTGTCTCTGCGCAGTATACGATATCTACCCGTGTGCCGTTCAGCCAAATCTCTAGTACTGCGATAAATTGACCACAACCTTGATATCACGTTTTGGCTGGTGTGTAGGGCCTCACCAACGACGCGTTGAATAGCATCATTTTCTAACATGCCCACGGCTCGTAACATTTCATCTCGACTCAAATGATGACGTGACATGATTCTTAAAGCTCACACGTCACGTAAAATTAAAAAAGAAAAACAATTGAATCCCTTTTCATGATGATGGATTGAAATAAATGATTATTATTATATTATTAATAAAAATCAGTAGAACAATTTTCCTTGACGTAACGAATTACTAACAATTTTGACGGCGTATTTTCTGCCGACATCCAAAAGGGAGACGGTACTCAATTCGATTGTATGTTTTTTTTGTTTTTTTTTTTTATGTGTGTTACCTCATAACTTTTTACTGGGTGAACTGAAAGCTGGTACTTCTCGTGTGGTCCCATATGAATTTGATCAAGGTCAGACTAATAGCTTTTGAGTTATTCTTAATAACTTATATTGAGGTCGGCTGTACAAAATTTTAAATTTTAAATTATTCTTTATTTTTTTACATTTTTAAATTTTGATAATAGAATAAAAGAGATTTCAATTTGTATATAAAGTTTTTATGGAAACAAAAAAGATTTTAAACTATAAAGTCGTAAATAATTTAGGATTATGGTATCCCTAGATTCTGTTGATGTGTGTAATTATACAAAATAAATGAAACAGGTCATGCGAGTTCCATTGTTACGTAGTTTTACATGCGTTGGTTGCTGCTGGTGATCATTGGTCAGTCTCAGACTCAGTTCAGTGTGGTTCGTGCTGCCGTCTTAATCAAACGTTTCCTTACGTTTCAATCTGTTCTTATTTGTAATATCAGACGCGTAAGGTATTTTAATGGTGTGATTATATTCGTATTTAAAATTGTATTATTTGAGAGCGTCATGTTTTACGTAATTGCTTTCGCGGTAATTGGGGCCTTGTCCTTGTCATGGTTTATTATCGATGCTTTATGGAGTCCTTTACAGTTAATATTGTCGTATCTGACGCCCTATTTTCTGCCAATGGAAGAACAGTCCCTTAAGCAAAAATACGGATCTTGGGCGGGTAAGTTTTTTTCTGGTTTTGATTTTTTTTTAAATTTAGTCTTACTATTTTATGTCTTTTTCTATAACAGGTTTTATAAATCCTTAGTTGGGCATACACCTTTACAGTAATGCGACAATTGATCTCTATAAATTGAATAATAGCCCTTACTTACTTATATAGTAATAGGTATAAGCTAAACTCGCAACTACATCCGCGTAGACCTTAAATTAAAAAAAAAAACCTGCAAATCTGTAATAGTGGTCTATTTGCAAGTATTTCAATTATATGAAAATACTTTACTCTCAGTTTTTTGTTATTATCTTTAAACGATGTGCCATTTGGAAAAAAGTTTAAAAGGTCGTATCACCTTATCTTTTGACACTCATACTTTTGTTACGTAGGTACTAGTATTATTTATTCTGTGGTTTTGTTGCAAAATGATTTTAAAGTAAAAAGATGTGAAAAATCAATTTTGCATCATAAATCCAAACTATAACAGTTTATAGTTAAAGTTGTAAGGATCTTTTTTGTGTAAAATTGCAAACCAAAATAGTTTCTTCGCATAAGTAGTATAGGAGATAATCCACAAGAAACATTTATAGTTTTTTGATTTCACAAAAATCCTAAAGTTTTATGTTTTAAATATAGCCAAAATTACTCTTGGCGTTGCTTTTTACCTGTTCGTGAATTCATTTCTTCTTTTTCGTTTTTTCTTTCATTCATCACACACGGTCCAACAATTCCGAAGATGAGAACAGACATTATAACAGATTAGTTCTCTCATATTACTACAATGTGCAGCTTTTGTGGTGATTGAATATTAATGACGTCCCATTTCATATTAATTGACTTTTAAAGTTAAAAGTTAAACTTACTGAATATGTATGTCCTCTCACTTACCTTACCTCAGACTTACCTCAAAACCTGAAAACGAAATTGTACAACCAGTGCGTGTTGCCAGTGATGACTTATGGAACTGAGACGTGGTCCTTCACTGCTGGCCGTATGAGGAAGCTCAAGATCGCTCAGCGAGCTATGGAGAGGGCTATGCTCGGAGTTTCTCTGCGTGATAAACTTAGGAATGAGGATATCCGCAGTAGAACCAGAGTAACCGACATAGCCCAACGGATTAGTAAGCTGAAGTGGCAGTGGGCCGGCCATATAGCTCGAAGAACCGACAACCGATGGGGAAGAAAGGTTCTCGAGTGGCAGCCTCGTACCGGTAGGCGAAATGTAGGGCGTCCCCCCACGAGATGGAGTGACGACCTGGTAAGACATGCAGGAAGTCGATGGATGCAGGTGGCTCAGGACCGTGCTTTGTGGCATTCTTTGGGGGAGGCCTATGTTCAGCAGTGGACTTGTGAAGGGCTGTAATAATGATGATGATGTCCTCTCACTTCTGAGAGGGTTTTAAGGCAAGGAAGTGTTCGCCACGCTGCCCGTCGGACTTCACAAGTCTTCGAAATAGTTTTTTATTTTTGTATTTCTCCGACTTGCAGGTTTCCACACGATGTTTCCCTTCACCGCCAAGCACATGGTGAAGGGAAACATCGTGTGGAAGCAGTGGAAGCACTTAAAATTGCAATTAAAAATTTCATTGGTGCCGGCGGGGATCGAACCCGGGTTTCTCACGTACCTACTGGGAAATTTACAGCGAGCACTAAGCCCCTGAGCTACCACGGCTCACCGGCTCACAGCATCCACCATGGTCCCATATAAATCTTTATTAGATCCGATATTCAATTATAGACGGTTTATATTTTATTAAATAAACCAAATTTTTTTTTTCGCTTTTACGATAATCACGCCATGGGATGCCTGCTTTTTCACCGGCGGTGTCTACAAATTTGGCAAAAGGGATGGCTGGGATTGACCTTGATGATACTTAATCCAAGAGCCAGACTGTTTAATACCCCATATTATAAAGAAAGTGAATATATGTGTTGAAAAAGTTAAGTTATTGTTTCCTCTCCTTTCTTCCCTCATTTCTGAGAGAGTTTAAGGGCAAAGAAATAACCGCCATGCTGCCTCAATATAAAAAAAAACACTTCTGCGCTGGAAAGAACCAGCAAGAAAAACATCGTTAAAAGGTGTTGGCGGACATCACATGCCTTTGAAACATTTTTGTTTAGTGTCTCAGACATGCAGTTTTCCCCACCATGTTTTCCTTCATCGCCGAGCACGTGGTAAATCAGCACTTAAAATCGCTATGAACAATTTCAATGCTGCCCGCGGGAATCGCCACCAGGGTGCTTGCGTACTGACAGATTTGTCGCGAGCGCGCTAATTACACGGCTCTTGATAAGTAAGGTGAGTTAAAAATCAAAAGGATAACATGGTAAAATAGGGTATAATGGTATTTTTTGTCAAATATAAATATACAATATTTGAAACCATAATAAAATAGAAACTAAAAATAAAAACTTAAGTTATCATACAGTCCTACTCCCAGCGGTATAACGCAAATGCTGGCTGCGTTTTCTTGTTGAATATCACGGCTTAGAGTTAGAAAATAACCAGCCCTGTTATCACCATACAGTTCCTTTAGGAACTGCATCGCACCGACCCATGGACCGATAGACTCTACAGCAAATGGCACAAATATGTAATCAACTTTTAGAGATTCATATTTGCACCACTTAGTTCAGCTGCCCCTGATGTCGCCTCGGATCTAAGCGAGGTACCTCAGAGCTGTGAGGCTGCCAAAGTTTCTTTAGTAATTAATTTGGCAATGGTTCATGAGTTACCATTAAGGTAATAACAAAAGATAACCACAAAAAACTCATGAATACTTTTAATCTTCCGCGAGGTACTAAAATATCTCCTGATCATAAATACAAATTACACCCGAAAACGACGCTATACAAAAATATAAATGAAACAAAAAGTAAAATTTTAAGGTGTCTTAATTTTTTGTTATGAACTGTGTTCTAAAATTAGTAATTTAAATGATTTAACAAGTATTTTAAAATATAATTTATTATTTAATGAGCACTTCTTGAATAATAATTGTTTTCGTAAAAATTTATTTAATTTACGAATCGTTGGCCAACCAACAATCACTACGTTTTATCGTCGGTGACCTTAGGTACATATAAGCAAGCTAAGCTAACTCGGTTGCTTTGCGCTTGGCTTGATTCAATGGCGTTGTGAAGATAATGTTGCATATCTTTGCATTTTTATACTTAACATTTATTGGAAGTGCTCCAAATAATTGTTAGGATTTATTCCAGCCGCCAAATTCCACCATCGCAGATGGCAACAAAATTTTATATATCATCTACAGCGTCGGGATGTGCGGCGGTTCACTATTTTGCAGTTATCGTTAAGTATTCCTCGCGAGACTTTTTAGAAAGAATTAACTGAGCTCACCGCTTAGTTCACCGCTGGCAAGTTGCTTGTTTTTCGGTCTTCTACAGATTGTACTTCGGAGTGTGCCCATGAGCTTCATAAGCTCATACCGCCATCTCCATTCTTCTATCGGAATACCAGACGTACTGCAGGTTACCATCCACACTTGGTTGATATTCCAAATATTCGCACTAAGCGCACAGCCAAGGAGTGGAATGCCCTGCCGGCGTCTGTTTTTCCGAGTGCATATAACCTGAACCTCTTCAAGGTGCCTGTTAACAGGCTTCTCCTGGGCAAACTCGCTCCATCGTAGACCTCATCTTTGCCCTCGGGCCAGATGGAGGTCAAGACTGAGCCTAGTTTAAAAAAAAACTATCACTAGCGATTTTTCCTGACCTAATAAAAGAGCCTACTCACTTCTTTAAGGTCAGCAACATATCTGCATTAACCCTTGTGTTGCAGATGTGTTGATGATGATGATGATGTTCATGTTCATGGTAAGCCATTTGACTCTTATTTTATTAAAAAAAATACGTTGAAATATACGTGGTAGTGTAATGGTGCAGTTGTATTATTCCTGGAGAACGCATAAAAAGCCTCGACTGGCAATGTGAATGGTCAAATGGCATAATGTGGCAATTTTTTTGTGGTATTGGCTTCAAGGCATTTAGCGAAAAAGAATTCGTCTGGTATATGTTTTCTCCACAATATGTGCCACATTGCGAACGACAACTTGCGCCAACAAACTTGAGACAGTCGATGATGATATTGTCTCAAAGCACCTAAGCAGACAAAATAACTTGCATCACCATCGGTGAACTTGTCTTATGCGCAGACATTTTGAACACAATATCGCATCACTTTTCTACCGACTTCAAAAAGTAGGAGGTACTCAATTCAACTATATGTTCTTTTTTATATGTGTTACATTATAACTTTTTTCTAGGTGAACCGATTTCTAATAATTAATATATTAGAAATCGGTTTACCGAGTACCGATTACTGATAATTTTAAAACAATCTCCTTGGGTAGATCTTGTCTTGATACCAATTTTTATCAATGTACGTAACACACGTGTACGCTGCGTAGTCGCGTAGCATGTTTGTCTCCCGCTCTCCTTTTTTTCATATTTTCTCACGTACCTTAAAAATGTAGCATCGGCTACGCAATAATCTATGTTAATCTATTTGTTTATCGCCTATTAATTCCAACGTACTTGAATCCACCACGCCATGTCCATGGGTGTCGTAAGACGCGGTAAAGTGGAATAAAACAGGAGATAGGCAGATTCCTTCCTGTTAAAAACTCATAATAATAAAAAACTGCGGTTGCCAACCGGCATGCCAATCGTGGCGACTATAGCAAATATTCTCCGTATGAGGATTACATCAGTTTTTGCGCTTTTAGTATTGTAAAAGATTCGATCTTCCTAGATAACATAGCTAATATTAATATGTAATGTTTTTTTTATATTTACGCGAATACGTTTTTCCCCCAGACGATTTTGACGTTAATGGCAAAGCACCCAAAAAAAGTCGGGAATTAAAAATTAGTAAAAATTCGTAAAGATATTTTTATTTAATTATCTAATATGCACAAAGGTCAGTTTATAGCAATCTAATAAAAAAGCTACGCCTCATTAAAATTTATTAATATAACCATAATT